CTTTAAGGGACCCAACAACAAAAAATGACCAAACAGCAAAAAAAAGATATGGGTTCCCGATGGTACGTTACATAACCCGTACAAACCCTTAACCACATAAACTCACATATTCAGCTCAAGCTCATGTAATTTTCCATGTTATTTTCCGTCTGGTACCGTAAACCTTTTACATCCCTGCGTGCCCTATAATCCCTAATGACATACCTCTATGTATTGCTCATACCATCCCGACATACCTACACCCAATCCCTATGTCTCCTCATCTGTTCCCATAGAATCCTTCCTACCCCCTTTGCTTAAGAATCCCAACCCTAAACCCCAAACCCTGAACCCTAAACCCCCTAAACCCTGAACTCCAACCCCTGAACCCTGCAGTAGTGCCGAGGTAATAGCCCAGGATAGCGAGTACCATTGATCCGGTTGCTCAAGGCCATGCCGATCTCCGTCATGCCATACCTTCGGTACTGTGGTTATCGTGCCCCTTAAAACGGGGATAGAGGGGCTATATAGGGAGAATATAAGCTTAGGATTTAGAAAAATAGGGCTTAGAGTCTAGGATTTATGAGAGTGCTGTGTGTCTGACACTGCGACTTACGCATATGAAGTCCAGCCCTGTCCAAAGGAAAATGGAGGCGGGCAGATAATATAGCAGTTTCATGATGTTTTCGTTTCTAGACCTAGCAGTTTCCATTTTCTTCGCCATCCTTAAGGGGAAGAGAACGGAAACTACGGTTCTTCTACTTGGTCTACGCGAGCAAAGAGCTTCCTGCTATAGAAAGCTTTTTCGCAAAGATAAAGGCTCCACCCACTCACCCCGCGCGGTTGACTTCATTAAGCCAGCAACCATCCCTATGACCCAGACCGTGATCGGCGTAAGGTCAGATATTTCAGTTTCAAAGTCAGACAGGACAGAGCTTGACGGGCATTGGCTCTCCAAAGACTACCCGTTTGTAGCGAAGAATGGGAGAATGCATCCCTCAAGTCAGCGCACTAATATCTCTGAAGCCCATCCCCATTGCCACTAAGCCCTAAGCCCTGAACAAGGCAGTATCTTCAATATTATTGCCCATTCCCCGATTCCAACATACTACTGGGCTGCTGTTATTGAATTCAACCCAAGTGTAGGCATATACTAAGCACTACAATTTCTTATGCTGGCAACTCGAGTTAGATTCCTCAATTGCAACTCCTGAGCATCTCACCTCTCTAGCAGCACATGGCCCGAAATCTCCGCCCAGGATGTCATGGTCGGCACCTGCACATGGTTTGGGGCTTAGGGTTTAGGGCTGTGAACTGTGTAGGGCTTCCTGGGTGGTTGCACCAGGAAGGAGAGTCGTCTTATGATGCAATTACAATATACTACAGTCGAACGGAGAATTTAACCTCTGTCCAGTATCCCCATGTCAAAGGCTGCCGTCCTTGCTAACAGGGTCTGAGGGTCAGGGACTGCTGGGTGCCATGCTGGCAACGCCGCCGAGCCGGAAACCATATACCTTTCGCACGCACAGGGTCTGCACAAGGGTTTAGGGTCCTGGAACCGTATGGGTATATGGGGATATTGAAGCCCAGCCACGGAAATCAAATGGAAAAGAACACGCAAAATGAAAGGGAAACTCCCATGCAAACGGTCATAATGTAGGGATCACATAAGGTTGTGGAGATATTTCAGCCTCCCAAAAAGGAAAGTCGATTTAACAAGGAAACGGATAACACAACGGAAGCAACTATCTAGTATATTGCTAACTGCTATTACAAAAACGCTCTTGATTACTTATTGAGATTTTGGAATAAGGAAAAACTCACACCCCGAACCCCAAACCCCAACTGTTTTCAGTACATCCCGAGGTTTGGGTCTAGACAGGAGTCTCAGGACCTGGCAGGGCATTGTGGCTGTGAAGTAACCAGTCCTTATGGTCTAACACCTTTTTATCTATCTATCAAGCTATCTATCTATCTGTCTACATATATATGTATATATATATATGTGGTAGATTCCTTGAGTAGGGGGACCCCAATATAGTCCCCAAAATACTAAAACCCTTATTATAGGGACCCCTGAAAAGGTACCCCTAATTTTGGGCAAACCCCCGTATGGAGTAATTTCCATGTAATTTTCCATGGTTGTAGTTGGAAGTTAAATCTCCCCTCACATACACCAGCTGAGGCTGCCTTGAAAAAATCACAGATCCTACAACTGGAATGGTGATTGGCAGGGATTAATGGGCAGGTGGAGAAGATAATGGAAACTACTGTAGGTGTTAGGGTTCTGCTCCCGTAACCCTAAACTCAAAAGCCTAAACCGCATTTTCTTCCACGACCAAGACGCCTCAGGGATGGATTTCGCAGCCCCTTGCCTCGTTCAGCAGAAGCAAAGCTCGTTAATCAAAAGTGCGGTCCCTAATTACTAGGGACCCACGATTGTTAGGATCTAGCGTTTGCGATCCCGCATCGTTTGGGCAGGCAAAAGAACACCATAATTGTCACAACCCTCCCTGTGTTCAGGCAGTTCTGAGACCCCGGAAAAGTAAGGCTGCGGCAGATCGCTGCTCTGGCTTGGGCAGAGAGCGTATCCAAGTGTTGGGTAAACTTGACCTGACATTTTGCCAGAAGTTTGCTTCAAATGAAATGCTTAAAGTAAGATTACTACAAACTGGCATGGTACTAGCTTGGACGGCTCCTTGCTGTTTCCAAGCTCTCCACAAATCTTCTAGCTACGTGCCTATCATTGCCTCTGCTACGTGTTTGTTTTGCGGACTCACTTGTCAGCCTGCTGCCCTGTCCTTGCCGCGGTGTCGATTTTTCGTCCCAAGCTCAGAGTTGTGGTGCTCACTTGGGTTTGCAACCTAAACCATCTTGACGACCTTATATCCCAAACACAGCCGCTGAGCGCCATGAAATATCAGCTTCACAATCACCCCTGAACTAGTTCACATGTAGCAGCAGCAACTGCGACAGCAGTAGCAGTGGCAGTCACAATGGCAGAAGCAGCAGTAGGAGGAGTAGGAGTAGGATCAGTTGTGGTAGCAGCACTAAGAAGAACTAGAAGAAGAGGAAACAACACAAAAATAAAACAAACTAATCGGTCATACCAATACTGCTATCAGCTACTTCTTGCCAGTGGTACTGTCGGTAATGGCTTTTCAAGCTCTTTCCAACCCCCAAACCTAAGCCTGAAAACACTAAAAACCTTCAAAACCGTAGAGTCTTGTTGTCAAGGTTTCCCTTACGAATAGAGCTGGCCGTACAGACAGGGATGGAGGCTATGGATGCTATCACCAAAAGAAAATGGAAACTACAATGTCATAATAGGGTATGTATTGGGGTTATATAGGGATGATGGAAAATGAAAACTACTATATTCTAATAGGGTAGAAAACAGACATTACTTGCTGTAAGCTGTAAGACACACAAATGAGAACGCAGCAGTGCTCGAGACGCCACTTGCATTGATTCATGCAAGCGTGTCAGGAAGGGCATAGACTGTCGGCACCGCATGAAAGCAGGTGATGTCGCCCGAAGTCAGCCGCCTTGCCAGCTCGCATTCGGGGACTGACATTTGCGGCTTGGGGCTTTTCAGGAACCCTACACCCTAAACCCCTATAAACCCCAAACCCCTAAACCCTAAGTCCTAAAACCCCTGAACCCTAAACCCCATGTTACGGGCTTCGGGGATCACAGTTTGAGGCTTGTAGATGCAAACTTCTGGATTACGGCTCGCTGCCAACAAGTGGCATCGGTAATCGTAAGAAGCTATAAGGGGGTTATATAGGGGCTATACAATAATAGGAGAAATAATAGAATATACGGGTTATATAGGCGATATATTAAGGTTATAAGAGCAATGTGCTTTTCATTTGCTTGAGAACCCTGTAAACGGTAGTAAAGGGAAAATGTAGACCCAGAAAAGTACAACTCTTACTCTGAGAAGTGGCGACCACTGACCCGGATTTTCAGCTCCATGAGTATGACTTCTGCTGCTTGCGACGACCTTGCAACTTGACCTACACCATAGGAACAGTATAACCCCTTATGGTAGTTTCCGTTTTCTTTTTCATAATCCCTGTATAAACCCTATATACTATACCCCTATACAAGCCGTTCTGGTCGTTTTCATTTTCTTTTCCTTTTCCCCATATAGCAACCCTAGCAACCCAAGGCTCAGCGAGCCACTTCAAGCAGAAGGCGGCATCAAATGCTGTAACTTCCACAGCCGCACCGTTGAACAGCGCCGTGTTCAGGATGTTCTGAACCTCAGGAGCAGACGTATAATCCCACTGCTCTGACTTCTCTGACTAACCACTGTTCCGCTAGCATCCGTATCCGTTGAGAATATGCTCACACTCGTCAATATCACTGAGAACCCCAGTATCACAGTAATCATCTAGGTACTGTAAGTTTCCTCAGAGTTCAGTGCATTGCGACTACTACACGATTCGTACCATCCTTACTAGTGTGACTATGGCAATTGCATTGCTCACGCAAGTAAAAGATTTTCAGCACTGCTCACATCATTCTCAACACGTCTTCCCCTGAGCCATCATAATGAAAGTGTGTTGCAAGGCCGATAAACCCTAAACTCTGAACCCTAAACCCGAATGTAGAGAAAGAATCGCACATACCATGCCAAGTGCCCACCCAGTTCAGGCTTGGCTTGCCACGCCGTGAATGTGGTGAAGTGGAAGGACATGCAATGTGCGGTCTTTTGGAGACCACCTTGCAAATTATTATGGGCATTGGGGATATAGAGGGTTATATAAGGTTATATGGAGTGATATGTAGTTGGAATGGAACAGAAAATGGGAGCTACCATTAAATGACTCCAACATGCTGCGCATACACAGCACATCCCAAAATCGCGAGTGCAAGACTCAACTTTGCCTGCCTAGACCCAAACGCCAAAGGTAAAGGATTTTGTATGGGACCATTTCTCCACTATCCAGGTAAAGGGTTTAGGGTTAAGATAATCAAATAATGGCCCTTTTGGCTACTTATTGGGGTCTTGGACCGTTATTTTACCTACTTTGGGGGCCCAGGTATTTGGCAGAGCTCTATTTGCCGATGGCGTTTTTTCTCCAACGGTATGTCAGTATGCCACTTCATCCCCTGTCCATTCAAATCCTCATATATGTGGTTTAGGGTTTAGGGTTTAGGGTTTAATGTGTACACATACTGTTGATGGAAGAAATCTTGCACCACCTAGATTCCCTAAATTACTGTACTTCCTAGTACTTTAAGGACTTTACGTGGTGCAACATTTCCTCCATCAACAGTATGTGTATATACATATATATATACATATTTAGGTATATAAGCGCGGTTCAGGGTTTAGGTGATTATATTTCTCAGCAAGCAGACAATCAGTTGCTCGCAAGTATCCGACCTTTCCCGCCTCTGGTATCGCCTTTCAATCCATCTTCAACATCGCAATTAATGGTCCAAGCACCCTTCCCCCAAAAGAATGGCGGCTAAAGATCTCAAAGGATCCCTTATTCATCGACACTTTGAGAACTGCATACCCGAAAGCTTGTTCAACCCTAAACCCTAAATAGTAGTTGCCATCTTCTTTTCCATTATCCCAACATAACCCCAATATACACCTTCAGCCAAACCTTCCTGCCACTTGATCTCAACATCAACCCTTGATCCAATGTCTGATCAAGCAAGCTTCTGAAAACAAACAAAGAACACCTTAGGAGGACCCCCCACCCTGTAATAGCGATATAATAAGAATATAAGAGGACCCTAATATAATCCCGTTTTTTCCTTATAGTCACTATTGCTGGGTGGGGGGTCCACCTAAAGATCACCTCCCAAAAGTTTCTGCCCATGAACTTACTGGTTGCTTTTGGAGTGGAGGAGCTGCACCCAACTAACAACCCAAAGTGGACATCCAACCCTCGCACATGCATAAACTTACTCGTGCTTGGTAGGGAAAATCAGGAACATAATCCCTGCACTCTATACAGTCCCAAAAGAACATACTCCCATATTCCCTAACAAGAACCAGCGAGTAGAACGTCGTCACAAATCTCCTCCGTGCGTTACAACGCGCCGTGAAAGACAGGGAAAAACAAACATGTCACTTTCAAAACTTCCAACGCGGTCATGAGCAGATACAACTTGGAGCACAAATACCATGATTCACCTGAGAACTATAGCGGTCCTACGTGAAATTCGCTGTAAACCGCGCAGGAACCTCTAATTCGCACATGAGCTCAATGCAGGGTATCTGAGAGGCAGGCTTCCACGCCTCACTAAGGGACCGCATCTGTGTGGTGAGGCCTTTGCACGCCCTCTGGCATTGCCATATTGCACTGACCCACGTAATATCCCAATATAACCCCAATATACCTTAGTAGTTTCCATTTTCTCTTCCATTATTCCCTGTATATACATACATACATACATACATACATACATACATACATAGATATGTGTATAAACACTAAACCCTACTATACACTCAGGCTGCATTGCCTGCGAGCTTGCTGAGTCCACAGCTGTTAAATGTATGGACCACGCCTGTGCAGATGACTGGCAGGCTCCCATCCCAATCCCCCTCAAGTAGATATAACAATGGGGTTTAAGGCTTAGGGTTTAGGGTGTGGGGATTAGGGTTTAAGGATTACGGTTTAGGGTTTAGTGTGTGGGGATTAGGGTTTAAGGATTACGGTTTAGGGTTTAGGGATTACGGTTTAGTGTTTAGGGTATAGTCCCTAAACCCTAAACCCTAAACCCCTAAACCCTAAACCCCCTTAAGTAGATATCATGGCAACGTATGAGCCTTTGGGCTGTCCGGTCGTTCCTGAAGTGTACAGAATCAGCGCATTCTGTGACAAAACCTGAGAGGTCAGCAAAGTCAAGATTATGGGTACCTTTTAAGGGGTTACAGGGTTTAGGGTTTAGGGTTTAGGATTATACATAGGGATAATATAGGGCTATATAGGGTTTAGGGTTTAGGGGTTTCCCAAAATTAGGGGTACCTTGGGGTCCCTATAAAAAGGACTATAGTATTTTGGGGTCTATACTGGGCTCCCTTTATACTGAGAAACTACTATTTTGAGGTATGTCAACTTCCACTACAAACAATCGCCTTGCAGGCAAGGGCTTGCTAGCTTGCTCGCTTGCTGTCTGTCTTTTCATGCCTGGTGGAGACAGCATGAAACTGAACCCTAAACCCTAAACCCTGTGAAACTGAACCCTAAACCCTAAACCCTATAAAGAGTCCTTTCTCCTTTAGGAGCTGGTTTGCTACTAACCAGAGGCAGGGACTTTGGACATTGGGGATGCGGCATCCACTCGAGAGGAGAACAGACCGCAGAAGCAAGAGAAGCAGCCGGGCGACGCCTTGACAAGGAAGCTGCAAAGAAGTTATAGTATGTAGGGGGTATATTGGGATAATGGAAAAGAAAATGGAAACTACTATAGTATGTAGGGGTTATATTGGGATAATGGAAAAGAAAATGGAAACTACTATAGTATGTAGGGGGTATATTGGGATAATGGAAAAGAAAATGGAAACTACTGTAGTATGTAGGGGGTATATTGGGATAATGGAAAAGAAAATGGAAACTACTATAGTATGTAGGGGTTATCTCGGGGTAATGGAAAGGAGAATGGACATCTATAGTATGTTCATCTTTCTTTTCCATTATCCCTGTATAACGAAAAGTGCTTCTCTCATTGCTTAACTGTAGTCTGCCATGGCAATGTTGCTGTGAAGTTGGCTCCTCCTCCTACTACTACTGCTTCTACTGCCACCACCCACTGACCATACTCATGGTCAATATTCCAAAGCTATACTGAAGATGGTTGCTACGGAGGCCATCATGCGCAACACCAACCCTCCAGAAAATTACAGCAATTCACCAAAATCCATTTGACGGCTGTGACAAAGTTGCGCCCTTGGGGATACTTTCGGCCTATTAGCAAGACCCGGGCTTACTACATGGGATCTTCCGTACCTTGGGACCACATGATGTTGACCAAAACATTGGGACCCAGATCATTGAGACCCCAGATTGGACCCCTAAACCCTAAACCCTAAGCCAAATATCCCTTAACACTTGCGTATTCTGGCCGATCCTCAATTGAGAATAAAACCACCCGCCGCATGTTTCCGCAAATAGCTGGATTCCGGTGCAAAGCGATAGAGTGGGGTCCCACAGTCTCCTAAACCCCAAACCCCTAAGCCTTAAGGTTTAGGGTTTACGCTTTAGGGTTTAGGGGTAGTAGTTTCCATTTTCTTTTCCATTATCCCAATATATCCCCTATATAATCCCAAGTTAGGGCCTCTCTGTAAGGTATTTCTAGAGATGCGGGGCAAGCATTTCGAATCTGAGGTGGCCACTGCAGGGGCCACAGGACCTGCAAACATCCAGTACAGCGCTCTACGGGTACATAAATCGCCTGATTGAATTATAGCTCACGCGGGGGCTATGCCAGCTACTGTAGACATCAGACGAATTGCCGACTTGATTCCCCGATCATCCTTGAATATCTTTAGCATAATGCCCCGGAGCCATATTCGAAGTAAAGCCCTAAACCCTAAAACCCTAAACCCTAAACCTAGGGCAAGCAGAAGACATTCTTTCCAGCCATGGCGTGAAGGGGTAGCCAATGACTTAAGCCAGCTTCTCCTTCAGCTGGAGACCCGAAAGCCCCTAATGGACCCTCGGGATATGTACGGATTCTCTATATGGGGGTTTCCTAAAATTAGGGGTACCATTGTGGGGGTCCCCATAATAAGGACTATAGTATTTTGGGGTCTATATTGGGGCCCCCTTATTTTCGGAAACTACCATATCTGTAACGGATATCTTCAAAAACTCGCAAGATCTCCAAACTAGGGGGGAGCTGCGCTTCTCATTTTGGATCGGCTGTTAGGCATGGCAAACCCTCCAAAAACGAGATGAGGCTCTGAAATCAAAAGCCGTCTGAATAGAGGGCAGCTAAGGCATGTTGTAAGCGACGCCAACTGGGCGCATTTCGCTTTTTGGAGATGCACTGTAATCATGAACCAGTTCCTATAGCAACTGATTACCCTGAGAACACCAAGAATATCATAGTTCAGCACCTGCCTCCGTCGACCATCAGTCGATACGCTTTCGACGACTCAGGCGCCTCCGGAGCGCAGCACGAGGAGAACCCGATACACTTGCATAACGGTTGCACCTGCTGAGGGGCGTCCCGGCCGTAATGAGAAAAACGTAGTCGTAATAAAGGTGATAAGAATGATGATAATATTAGT